ACGCTTTATGTGCTTTACTTTATGTCTCTGATTTATTTGCATCAATTTTACGAAATACTTCTAAATGAATACAATTAAATCTTAAATTGTTATAAATGATTCAGTATTGGAAAAATATTCAACTTACTAACAACATTTTTTAAATCTTAAATTCAGTACAATATATTCATCAAAATATTATTAAAATTTTGAATGTATTAATATTATTAATAATATCTATTTTATTAATTATTATCTTATTATTATCCTATTTTCTTCATTTAATTTTATTTTTCTTCATTTTAATTTTATAAATATTAATCAATTATATTTTTAAATGAATATTTGTATGTATAATAAATAATAAATAATATTTTTATTAAAATTTTACTTACTTTTCTACTTTTATTTTTTGCTTTTTACTAAAAGAATAATATTTATTTTTTAAATAACTAATTCATGATAAATATTTGTTACAGTCGGCTTTTCCCAACTGTTGCATTTGATGCTCAAACCATCTTCGAATATATATATATTCACCGGTCATTCTATTTACAGAATATACATATTCTTCGCTGTATATCTTTCTTTAATAAATGTGTTACATTTTTCTATCTTTTAATAATAATGATATTATATCAAAAGATTTTTAATATTATCAATATTTGCAATCTGAAATATACATGAATATCCTGATTCTTGATTTATCAAGAAAAACAAAAAACAAGACACATAAAAATCTTATGTTCACATTCTAATTAAATTAAACTTCAAAATAAAATCAAAAAACTTCCACAAATCGTACGTATATTAGTATTTTTAATTTCTCTGTCACACCATAGTTTATATATCTTTCAACAATAAATATATAATATACATATCGCGTATTTGAAACGTTAAAAATTAATTTCTTTTTTATTTTATAATTAAAACTTGATAAATTATATAGAACAGCTAAATAAAGATAAAAACTAACTACTTACTACATCAGAATTATGTATAAACTAATATATTAATGAATTCACAATATTGCGTATCAATTTTGCAAAAGGAACTTCAATGATGATATTTATATTAATCCCTTGTATTTATATCATATGAATTGTAACATAAAGAACTTATTAACAGATACTTCGAATCCTTCGAATTATTGAATCAGAAATTGCAATATTGTTTTTTCTTATATTTTATTGAAACCACTTTATTTATGTGAAAGATAATTAATAACAGTTTATTAATTTCAAACATGACAATTTTTAAACTTAAAAGAAAAAATCTGACAATCTTAATATCAAACGTAACATATCAATCATTTTTTAATAAAAATGACATACATATATCGAACATAATGTAAACTTCGATTGATGCGCCCTCATTTTGAGCGGTAGAAAGATAAATAAGAGAGATAATATCTATGTAAAAAAAATAAAAAGGGATAAATTTCTCACCTGGTCCACTGGTACATCGATAAAATCAGCGAGCCAGGAAAAAGTTCGGAAACCGTCGTAATAGTCCTCTACGGCTGCGGTCATTGTCAATGATTATACAATAAAGTTAATACACGCACATACACCACCGTAACGTTGATATATCTCAAACGATACTAACGTATTTAGAAGACATGATTTCACTCTGTTTGGTTTTTTTTCTTTCAAAAAAGTATTCGTTTCAAAACAACGACTCTACCACGATAATAATGACGCCTCGGCGACAGTTCCTGAAATGCAGCGCCGCTTCGTTCCGCGCCGGCTAACAATCTTACCGGCATTCAGGGCCGTATCCACAAGTGGTGTGATCAATTGCACGTGATGCATATTTGCATATATATATATGCATATATATATATATATATAACAGTACAATATACGAATGAAATCATGAGATAGCATGATTCAAATACAATGATTAATTAAATATTAATGACCATGACGAAATAAAAATTTTAAATTATACAATTTTTATTCACATCACAATTATTAATAATATATTAATAATATATTACGATTATTAATTATAAAATTTTATTATATTTATGATTTTGTAAAATAATTTTATTCAAATAAATCTTTTGATGTTAATCGTGTTTATATGTAAATCATTGTTCACGAGAATCTAGATTTATTTTTTTCATCATCAAAATTATAAAGGTTAGATTTATCTGTTATAATAAATAATAAAATTCAATCAATTAGAGCATTATATCAATAAATTATTATAAAATTATATTGTATAAATATTTATGATAAATTAAATTTGAAAATTTATAAAACAAATAAAATGTAGAAAAATATTTTACCAAATATTTTACCAAAGAAATTAAAGAATAAATATATTTTGAATAAAATCATTGTTAAATAAAATTATTAAGATTTTAGTAAATATAAAATTAATATATTATTTTTTATAATTATTAAATAGAAGTATATTCTCAAATGTTTAATATTATAAGTTATGCCTTAATATTTTAGTAACATCATCAAAATTGTTATATAATTTTTTTAAATATAAAAACATAATTTAAAAATAATAATTCTTTTTTTTTTTAACGAATTTTTTTATACATCATACACACACACACACACACACATGTATGTATATAAATGTGAAAGTAAAATATAACCTTATTAATATAACCTTATTAATAACATATAATACAAATTTATAGAAAAATTATAATATGTATAAAAATATATAATAAATGTTCTTTTATCATTAAAATATACTTCATATTATTTTTTCGTACACCTTATATTTTATACAAAAATTATATTTAGTTATTCAAATAATAAATTTTTTATTTTTTTTTTTAAGTTATATAAAAAGAAATTTTAAATTGATTCTATTGGACATTTATATTATTATTAAAATATATAATATATTATTATTAAAATATATTTTTTTAATATTGTGTTTAATATTTTCTTATAATAAATTAAAATAATAATAGAATAATAATTAAATTTTTTATACAATTCAGTAACTATATAGTAACATTTTGTAAGAACTTATAGAACTAGTTCATAACATACATGAAATATATAAAATACTAGATTATCATTGATAAACAATTTTAGTAATTATCAATTATTAAACCACGTGTGTGCCGGAAATAAAGTAAAATATAAAATTTTGGAAATTTTAAATAAATTATTTAGTAAAAATAAGAGAAATAAGATATATCCAAAAAATGAGTGATGATATTATGGAAGATAATAAGATTGGAAGTGGAGAATTACAAGAATTTGTTATAGCTGAAAAACAGAAAGCGTTAATTCAAGCTCAGGTAATAGTTTTTATAAAATAATTTAAAGCTAAAAGTATTTATAAATATTTTTAAACAATTTGAAATTTGTTCTAAAAACGTCGAAGAGGTTAATTATTCGGCATATATTAGTATTTATACATGTAACATTCAATTTAGATTTCGTAATAAAATATTTGATAAATGCAAATTTTATGTCATTATATAATTTTGTTATTATGTTATTATATAATATATTAATATAATTTTAGATTCATGAGTTCAACGATATTTGTTGGGATAAATGTATTGATAAACCAGGAGTCAAATTGGACAGCCGAACAGAAACATGTTTAACTAATTGCGTTGATAGATTTATAGATGTTTCACTTTTAATTACAAATCGTTTTGCACAACTTTTACAAAAATCTGTATAAAAATATGTAATATTAAATAAATTATGCATATAATAGTTTCGTGTTATAAAGTGTAGGAAATAAAATTATTTTTTATTTCATTTTTAATAAAAAAATTATTTAATATTGAACAAATAACAATTAATTATATATTTTTTTCAACAAAAATTCTTTAAAATATATTTATACAAAAAATTCAATATATATATATAAAATGTACATTTAAATTTACAAAATTATAAAATTCTTCAGTTCTATAGAGAATCATAAAAATATAGCATATAATAACTTTAATATTATAATATTTGTTTCTTTTAAATACTATATAATATTACATTATATATATTATTATATATTAAATAACTTCTAAATATAATAGTTATTTTGAACATAAAGATATTTGATACTATAAAAATTAGATTTATAGAAATCAATTTCTGTTTTTGCAAAAAATATCAACACAAATTCTTTCAATGGCAGGCATAATATTTTTAATATCATTTTAATATTTTTAATTTTAATTATTTTAATTTTTAATATTAATTTATAAATTAATTATATAATTTTCAATATATCAGAGATTTCAAATATCAGAGATATTCTTATTGATAAAAAGTTTTGAAAAAAAATCTCTCTGATAAAAGTTTTTTTGAAAAAAAATCTAATAAAAATTTTTTGTGCTATTTTTTTAAAAGAACTTGTATCTTTTTTTCTTTTTTTTGCTCCAATAACATGTGTATGATTTTTCAAAAAATCGCAAGTTACATTTGTTTTCATAAATAGCTTAGAGAAATTAAAAATATATCTAAATACAAATACTTACATTTATATTTAATAAGTTTTTTTTAGATTTAATAAATTAAAACGATATTTTCATAAAATATAATTTCATCAAAGATAATCATTTAAATGAAAATAAATTACTAGAAAATGTTTAATAATTCATCAACTTAGGAATTTCTTTTAAAATATGTAATAGTAGATATAATAGAATAAATTTGTTTCTAATAAGAAAAGAGTTTATAAAAATTAATCACAAAAGAATATAATTTTGCAACAATATTAATTTCAAGAAATTATATCTCGAAATTTTTACAAGAATAGAATAAAACAATATCAATGTAAGAAATTGGAATGATTACTTGAAGCATTAAATATTGTTATTCATAGAATTAATTTATAGAATTATTTTGAAAATGCATTTAATATACAATTAATTTTAACTATAAAAAATAACTATGAAAAGAAATACAAATAACAATGTTTTTTTTAGTATTATATACTTTTTGATATCAACTGTCAAATGCAAATATTTGTATAATAAAATATAATTTGCATTCTTTTTTACGTATATGTCTATTTTATAATGAAATGTGTATGTAGATATTATATATATAACATATATTATATATATAATATATAACATTATCTATAGCATTCAAACATATACTACATTGTTTATTCACTATTTGATCTTAAATAATTTTGAACACTGTCAATATTATTATTATGTATAACTTTTTTTGAATTTTTAATTTTTATAATCAAATACATACTGGCCTCTGAGGAAGACACATATTATAAAATGCATCTTTTTTCCAAAAATCTTTTGATTTCCATCCACACCATCCTTTATTTATTATAGTTGGCAAATGTTCAGGGCCTACATAATGAGGATCTAAGATTAAAAATTTAACATCTCCAGTAATTTGATCATAACTAATTCCTAAAATTGTATGTGCTAATACTCCTCCACCTACAATTTATTTATATAGGAAACAATGGACAATTATTTTTATTAACAAATATAAAAAAAGTTAATTACCAATCATTATTGGTGTACCCTGTGTTTGAAAATGATGTAGTAGATTTGGAGCTAATGATGATACTTCTTCACCTGTAGACGCACAGAGTACTTTAACACTGATATCCAAAAGACTTTCTAATACAAAACCTACTTCCGTAGAACCAATCCATTGTTTACTATTAATAAAATTTGAAGGTTTGTCGCCTATATCAACTAAACATTTTTGTATTACACGATGTGATGGTATTGGTATTTCAGTATAACCTTGTAATCTGTAATAATTAATTTAGAATTAAATAAAATTAAATAAAATTTATATATTTATTTTATTATATATTAAAATTACCTAAACCATGAAATAATAGTTTGTAGAGATCTATATGCACATCCCCACCCATTATCATCAAAATTATCTTGCATATAATGATAATATATATATAAACCTTGTACAATTTGTACTTTCCAATTGCTGTTTATTATATCTAATAAAGAAATTTATAAAAAATATTTAAAAATAGAAATTGAAATAAAAATAAAAATAGAAATGTACTTATTATTAAATTAAACATACCATCCTTTACCACAATTGCTTCATGAGGATTTATAAGTATACTTTCTGTTTTTGAATCATTACAAAATTTTACAGCATTTCCGCAACGGAAATAAGGTCTTGTCATATCTAATCCCAAAATTTTATGTAAATTTTCACGATATTCTACTGAAATTTAATAATATGTAAATTATATTATATAAATATGACAAAGTTCATATCATAATGAAATAGAAAAATTTACTTGTTTCTTTATCACTATAACCATTTGGATAGACTACTGTGATCAAATGTCCAAAACCTTGAGGTTTAAAATGTATAGGTATTGGAAGTTTTATGGGTGTTTCTGATCTTTGAAGTTGATTTTCAAAACATTTTTCTACCAATTTAATATTTCGACACATAGATTCTACCAATATTCCATATAAATCTGCTGAACTTACATTAATATTGACCAAAGATAATGTATCAATAAATAAATTGCATTCCAAACTATTAAATGATCCTATATTATAAATATTTTCTTTAAATTAATTAATAAAATATTTAAATATTTAAGTATAATATCTAATATTATAAAATATAAATAAAACATATGATATTCTTACGTTTTATATATTGAAGTACTGGTGCATATTTAATATTATCTTCAGAATGTTTATCTCCAGACATTTTTAAAAGTATATAAGCATTTACAGCATTCTGTTAGTTTAGTAAAATTGATATAATTTTTCTAAAAATGTCAGAGAAATAACAAATACAACGATAAAAAAACATACCACTATTCCCATAGGTTTCATAATGTCTTTTTTTATATTTCTAGTTCCTTCATAATTACCAGATATGTTTAGAATCTCTTTTAAAGATATATCTTTTATAATATTTTCATTATTGAAAAGAAAAGCATTTTTTGATGGAAAATGAATTCCTATTTTTCCTGACACAATCTATTAGAAGAAGATTAATTTATATTTAATAATAAATAGAATTTTAATAAAATATAAGATATGAAGCTTACATTTTTTCTTGATTCTTTTAACACTTCCATTATATTATCATCCTGTGCAATTAATGGTAAGCTTCCTCTTAATCGAATGTAAATAAATTCTTGACAAATATCACTTTCATTAATGATTTTTATATCATTAATAGATTCAAGTTTTAAATGAATATAAAAATATGCCTGTATCTTTAAATTATCATGTGTATATTTTAAAAATAATGGATTATCTGTGATATCAATATCCTAAATAAAAATATAAAAAAGATAAAACAAATAAATATATTTTCATATATTTATAACTATATTTAATATTTTTACCTGAAATGCATCAATAAATTTTTCTTCACATTCACCAACATGTAAAATACCACAAAGATATACTTCTGCAGACATATGTAATTGTAACATTGTATGATTTATGTTAACTTCAATATTATTCATTATATTTACGCTAAATGTTAATACTGTTAATGTATTATCATACATTACACCATATAAATGACCTGTTACACCATTTTTTATGTTTTTTAAACGCTAAAAAATTACATTACTCTTAAAATTAATTCATATGACATCAAAAGACATAAAAATTAAAAATATGTACATATTACCTCTATAACATTAGATAAAATTCGCAATTGCGGCGCCATTTCAGAAATCTAATTATAACTAGATCTTTTATATAAATTAATTCGCATTAAATGTACACTATTGCCATATGGCAAAGGTTTCAAAAAACACATTAGAATATAATCATCCAATCAAAATTACATATATATATATATATATATATATAGAAACGCAACTATCATTTAAATATATATATATATATTTATATATATAAATATATATTAATATAATTGACAAAATATGATTAAATATCACTCATAATTTAGTACGAAAAAAGTAAATAATATTATTTAATGATACCAGTTAATTTTTGAACATGTCAGATTTATTTACTAAATCACAAATATTATTGAATAATGTTGGTATCCTGAAAGTTACTAGCATATTGTAGTTGATTAACTTCAAGCTCTTGTCTTTCGTAGATCAAAATGTTCTTCACTCAGATTGTGTGTAGCAAAATGGCCGCCCGACCAAAGTGAGTGTGACGTTTCGTGAGGTGATTGCATCGTTGTTTTAAGTGGTTTTTACGAATATTCGTTCATGTGACATAGTGTTATTGTGTTTCCTGTGATTATCCGCAGGTCTGTGAAGAAAATTCGAATATTCGATAAGGTAAGTAGCATAATTTATACATATTCGCGCGCAGGATAAAATTCTTACGATACTATTATACGTTAAAATTTTGTTAATTTTACGATTTTGTAACGATTTTTTATCAAATATGTAATGAAATAACAATTATTTTTTTTTCTTTTACATAGATATGATAATGTCTCTAATTACATAAATGATTAACGTCGATTGAAAATTGTATTTCGAATTGTTACTCTCTCTTCGAGTTAAAAGTGGGCGTTATTTAAATGACATACGTTCTTGCATTCTAAATGTACCAAATGACAGAGAAATAATGTATTTCGTTATATTTTCTAATATTTCGTATTAATTTGATAACAATATTGCTACTTACTTTTCGATACATTCATCTTCATAAAAAATATCACATGTATGCATAGAACATATCCTTTCAGTATATCATGAATTTTGCGAGGTTATTTAATATCCATAATTATTTCTTAACTTTCTTTTTACAATTTCAACTAATTATAATTTAATAAAAAATTAATATAAAAGAGATTGTTTTTAATATTTTGTTTTAATTTCATTTATGTTCATATATTCATATTTAAATTATCTTTTGTGCGATAACACATTATGTAATGTGTACATACACATTTATCGATACCACAAAAAAAAAATTTATATCTTAAATGTAGTATGAATTAAATCAAATGTATATAGCAATTATTATTATATAGTAAATTATATTAACATATAGTTAATAAAGTTACCAATTAAATTTGAAGTTTAAATATAAATATAAATATATATATATATATTATAAGTAAATATTATATTAGAAACTGTACAAATAAACTGAACTAGTGCAACAAATTATTTACTTTCAATGAAACGGAAACGAATCAATTACTAAGGTGCTTATAAAAACCATGCGCCATAATCGAAAATCGAGAATCATGATTATTATTTCATAAATCGATTTTCAAATCATATAGCAAAAAACATTTATATTATCATTGACTTATTGCTTATTAATTAACAAAAACGGTAGTACATCAATATGTACACATATTCTTTGTTTTCATTCCAATTTTCCCGCCATGATTTTTTTATTCTTGATTTTATATTTTTTACAAAGTTTTTGTTACATTGTTTTTTATATTCTGAGGAATTGAAAAAGAAGAAATATAAAAGTATCGTAATAAGGATTAATACACTTTCAAGGCGAGTGAACAAGCTCATGCGAACTCGGGCAATTAGCAATTGACTAATTACATGATTAACGAACGGTATACGGTATTCTTGTCGAATAATTCAGTCACAATGCTTAATTGTACACTATAAATGGACCGCTCTTCCTCCCGGAATTATTACGTTATATTTTTCCACGTGCGCCGTGTATCCATACATTGAATTCGCATGGATGTTCCTTGCCTACAAGAAAAAATGTGCTTCCCGCTGCGTGAATTCGCAATGGAAACATTACTGATTCTCTCATGCGCGTTTCTTACCTAATTAATTCAACCTTAAACAGAACTCAGAAGCGGAGTGAGAGGAAACGACCGCAACCTTGTGCTGAATGTTACGAGATGCTTGCGCTGAATGATCAAATGTTATCGGTCGAATATTGCTCCCATTACAAAAATTGCTATTGAAATTGATTGTTTCATGAAAGTTGTATCTATTATTAATTTTATGGACAAAATTTTGTTTCCAAAACGATATTGTTTGTTGATATATGATTTAGATTAAGATGACGTTTAATTAATATTTATTATTTCAATTATAGAATTATTCTTATAACATTGTTTAAAGATTATGTTTGATATGCGTTATTGACGTTATTTGACGTATACGTTTTATTATTGTGAAGTAGCAATGAAATTGTTATTATAATTAACAACGTTATTTACTTACGTCGTGTAAATATGTAGATAGTATTCATTATATGTCTTTTTTTACATGTGTATATTTAGTTTTGATGAATATTGAATTTAATTTAAATAGGAATTTAATCCAAATTGATTGCACATTGTAATTGTATTTTTAATTATTTTGCATTTAATTTCATTTTTTCTTTTACGTTATAAATGTGAAAATGTCAATTATCAATTAAATAAGTTATAAACAAATTGTATAATGATTTAATTAAAAAATTCATTTAAATTCAAGTATGAGAATTTTTTACTATCTTACATAAAATTGTTTACAAAGCAATATATATATATATATATATCAATAGTTATGAAATTTGTTTATGTTAAATTTTAAATTTCAAATATTGCATCTTTTAATTCGCACAGATTCAAAAAACTTCTGTTTATTATTTGCTCTAAATTTTTTTCACTCTATTCGCTTTATTCATTTTAATTAACAATTGAGCGTCTTAGTGAAACACAATTAGTTTCATTAAATTTGTTACGACATTCTTATTTTCAATTATCTTCCTTATTATTTAAAATTGTATCTGTGATCGTTTTTTTTTTCTTTGAAAGTTCTAATAAGAAATTTCGCTATATTTAATCCATAGTAAACAAAACATAATAATTTTTTTATGAAGTGTAATAAATTTGTTTTAGATTCTTAAAATTCTTTTTGTAAAATTCTTTTATTATTTGATTATCAATATAATTAAAAATGAAATTTTATTTTATTACTGTTTCAGAGGAGAAAATATCCGAAGGATGGACAATCAATCTGAAATATAGGTAAGATTTCCATATTTTTTATGAATTATAAGATATTAAACCACATCAAATTAAAAATTTTTGTAATAAAAATGTTAAAAATAATGTTAAAATATGTTATATTTGAGTATTTTAATTGATTAACCATTATTTCAATTCAATATTATTTTCGAATAAATTTTGTATTTTTTATATACAATATTAATTAACCAAAAAAAATTATAAGAAGTGATTAAATTATATAAATATTAAATTATATAAGTGATTAAATTTATATAAATACTTTTTCTTACCTAATTATAATGAATATTTCGCGTATAAGTATATTTCAAATATAAGTTTCGCATTCGTTGAAGATCATACATTGCGCATTTCTTTTCTATTTTTATTAAAAAAAAAAAAAAAAATTGCAAATTAACCATATTGAAATGTTACATTACTTTTAAAATGTAGTGAAAATGGCATATGATTTTTTTGATCATTTTATTATTCTATGAAATATTCTATGAATCGATATTTTTTATTTTAATCGATTTTCTTTTAGTTTTAACTTTTTATAAAATATATCTTTAGTTCTAACATATAAATCATATTTCATTTAATACTAAAAATTTTTTTTATATAATATAATTTAATATTATTTTTGTTGTGTTTTAAATTAAAGAAATATATATAATAATATGTATAATATAGAAGAAGAAACTTATAATAAAAGAAATTATAAGTTTTGTATGTCAGATTATTAAAATTTATAATGCTGAGATTTATCGTGTAATATTGTAGAAAAATCAATTAAATTTGGTAACTGTTATAACGCATATAAAATCAAGATCTCGTTACCGTGGAGTTTCTCTGCATATTTTAATATCGAGCCTCTTCTCATTAGTAAGATTTTCAAGGGTGATGCTTGCAATTGTAGCATGAATCATTTCAACCAGGCTTCCTCGTCTTCTGGAAAGAAATCTCAGAATAGCGGTTCTGAATCCTTCGTGATTTCTTATATCCGTGCATTCTTTCACAAAGAAAAGAAGATTCAAATTATAAAAAATCTCAATTATATTAACTTTGTAGAATTTGATAATGATTTATCACGACCAAAATATATTCATCTATCTATTCTATTTATGTATATTACACATACTAACTTTTAATAATAATTTCTTATTATTAATTTTTTCTTTAAATTTCATATTTACATATTTCACTATAAAAATAATAAAAATGATTGAATAATATTTTTCTTTATATAGTAATTATTAATATATTTTTATATTAAATCGTAATAATTTTTGTAACTAATCGATTTAATTACCAAAATAATAAATAATTAATAATAATGATTTTATAATTTTTTTTTTTTTCATAAAATTCACAACAATTTTCTCTTTTTTAAATTTCTGCTTAAGTAATTATATATCAGCGAATGAAAAATTCCTAATGAAAAGATGTATGAGATATCTCGTTCATGTATATGAAGAGATTAGATAATCTCAATATTTTCAAGATCAATCAATGCAGCAATCTGGAAAAGCAATACGTCTTCCCGAAGTGCTAGATTCATATATCAGTGAACGTTTTAAATCGCATTTAGGTCGGATATCATCTACGGTTTTAGTGGTATTTCATCTCCATTCGTAGCAATTCGATTGAACTTAACCACACGTCTACATTTTCCTGAAATGCGTTTTAAAACGTAACTTTTTCATTTTTTACCTCGTTCTACGAGTAATTTAAACGATACCTTGTAGATCATAGATTCTAACAGTATTATAGCAAATTGCAGCAAATTTTTCAATGCAGTGATTAGAAATGTAATTAATTATTTATGTAATTGAAAATTCATAGTATAATTTATATTATTCCCTAAAAATTTAATCACCTTTGTTACAATTTAATCATCATTGTAATTTCTTTTGTTATATATAGTTATAATAAATTTTTTTCACACTTTTTTTTACATTGTGTAAAACATTAAATCTAGATTATAACATGCTATTATGTTTAGATTAAAATTCTTGAATACATATGTTTTTAAAAAAATTGGTTCAGAAAAGAAACACCATATTTTTTGTAAGTCAATTTAATCAATAAATTTGGACATTCCTATAAAAAAGTATTAATTAAAATAATTCATATTGAGAAATTATTAATTTAAGATAGATATTATTTCACTTTGTAAAATAAAAGATTTATTAAGATTTATTGTAAAATTTATTTTGTAAAATATAAAGACAAAAAAATTACGAACAATAGAATATCGTATTCTTATTCCACTAAGTAGAAATGTTTTAAATAGGTTAATGCTCAGATAAATCGATTAATGTATTCAAAATTTTTCAACAATTTTGAAAAAAAATGAAGTTGATATATTCAATCTATAAAAAAAAATTTTTGTGTACATAGTATGATGATCTTTTAAATTAAACAATTTTTATTAAGACTTTTTTTTATTAAAAATTTAACCCCTCATAAAATATTCGACCGTATCCAATTAAACGAAATAACCTATATGTATATGTATATCATATGCCTGCAGCGTTTAATAATTTACTTTATATATTACATACTTATTTATGTATTACTTTATTTTGTGCATATACAATACGATGTAATTAAAACATCTTACAAGATTCATGCTGTATGAAATTATTCGACGGCTATTATTTTTCGAGAAATCAATATTTGCATTCTTATTTAAAGACTCATACGAAAAAAGATTCTCGCATGGTATCTTGTTAAGATATATATGTAAGTTTCTGATAATTTATTTATCAGTAACTGTTATTTATATAATTGATTTCTTTTGTTTCTGAATATCGATAAAATTGTTTACAGTTGGATAATTTGAAGTGGCTGATATATTTTTAATGCAATATCATAATAAATATAGTTTTTATTCAAATGGACAGATAGAAGCAAAATAAAACAAGAAATTTTTTACAAATTTAAAAAAATATTCAATTAGGTATATTTTATAATATTTTTATTATAAACAATGGTGTATTCCATTAATTTTTTGGATGATATTTTTCATTTGCATATTGTTTTGCATATTTTTTTTACATTTTATTTTTTTTAATGTCTTATATGTAAATGCAAAATAATTTTAGAATTTATCGAAAATTTTCAAACATCTTTATGTTATTAATTTTGCGAATCGAGTTTCGATGAAATATAAATAACGTAATAATAATCATTGCATTTAATTTAAATTATAAAGTAAATTATTTCATATATTTGACTATGAATTTTTTTTAATAAACAAATTAGTTTCCGATAAAGAATATTCCATTTCTAATTCTATTCTATAATGTATTCTATTCATTTCTAATTTTTATTTTGTATTCTGATTTTATCACTCACTTCGATTTAGGTTCGTACTTCTTATTCTAATCTTAACTACCTAGGTGGCTATTAGAACGCATCAAGAATTTTTAATTCGATCTTCTGTCAATACAAACCGTTCACGAGGATTAATTATTGCATCCATCGTTAAATTATGCAAGCTTAATCTCGTGCCTAACTGCAATTTTGCTCGATCTCCACGGTTATTAAGAAACATGTTTCGAAATCATTAGGAAATACTTCCCATATTAACGACTTCCTGCGGCAGCTTGTCGACGGATTTCCAGAAAATGCTCTCTTAAAATATAATTACTCCGTGGAACAAGAAGCGCCTTTGTAAAATATGCATCGTGATATCATGTGCCTCAACGAAGCTGTTGATCTTCGTCTTGATCTTCGAACGCCCATAAACATAATATACAAGGTCTTCTTCATCTTTGGATTCTCGAGAGTAGGGGAAAACAGTGCAAGTGTATGTATAAGTATATAAAGAAAAATGATTTCGTTTCATTAATATTATATAGATAATATGCTTATTATAAGATTATTGAAATAAATTTTTAATATAAATGTGAAAAATAATTTTGAATATAATGACATCAGTTTATCTTGTTACAGGTAAATTAGTAAAGTATAAGTAATTACTTATAAACGTATAAGTAATAATTTTATTAGTTTTCATTTTTTTTTTATGCATGTGATTTTGACATTCTAATTCATTCTTCTCTACAATTAAAGTATAAATGAATAAGAAATTCATGTCATTTTGTTTTCTTTTTTATTATTATTATTTATTTATTTTCATTTGAAAGGCTGAAAATTATAATGATGTAAATCCAATCAATAAAAAATGGAATTATGCTATAATATATAATTTTACATTATTTTAAATTAATTAGTATAAATTATTTCAATATTCCACAAATTAAAGTCAATCCAATATTGAAATCAAAGATTATAAAAGATATACAAAGAAAGTTATCTTTTTTTTTCTAAATATTAATTTCTAAATGAAATTCTTAATAATTTCCATGTAATTTATACCACTATAATACTGTTAAAACATATTCAAATATGTATTCACATGCAACAAATTATTAATTATAAATAATTAATTTTAATTATATATAAAAGGAATAAATAAATGTTCAAAATTCTAAAGAAATAGTAGTTTGAAGAGATTCAAAAATAAAGGAAGTAAATCTTTAATTTAAAGTTTTAATGATTAAATACATTGTGAATAGATCTAAATCTTTCTTTGACTTTTTTCCCTTTCTTTTTATCCATTTTGATTAATCTTTAAATTTTTGTTCGTCACATTGCGACAGATTTATATTTTTCTGGGTCATGTCATACTTTCTTCACCTCTGTTTGAACTCTGAGCAAGTTCGATACCTTCCGATTCACTATAAAGTTTCTCTGTCTCGTGTGAATCGTGTTACGTTACAATGGCAGAGATAGTTAGAAAGTTGTAAACGTAGAGCTGATTAGAATCCGTATCTTAACCGGTGTGGAGAACTGTCCTCTTTTTATGTGCTCGTTGTTCGTTGCGCTGTACGCTTCATTATCCTGTTTTGTTTACTTATGTTATGGGAAATTTGATTTCGTGTAAATATAGTTAAGATAAAGAAATTGTATAGTTTGAGTTGTATAAAATGTTATATCGAGATGATTAG